CCAAGCATCATAAAGTTGAAATCAATTGTCATAATCGAATCAGGGGGTCAATTCAGAAACGTTGTAAGTGCCTTTCGTTGTAAGTTGAACGTTATAAAGTCGAGGACTGTCTGTACTGTTCTTATTCAGAAATACAGTATTACTGGACATAGAGCATAGTCCAAGAGCACAGCTGGCAATGGCAATTCACTTTGTCAGGTTTGCAATGTTTGTAAATAGGATTAACATCCTCAACACAAAAAATTTAAATAAGTTAAAAAACTCTAAAAAGGGCAATGTGGTTTGAGGATAGAATGGAACTGCTGAAAGAAAAAGGAGGATCCAAAACTTGCATAGTACTGACTATTGACAATAACTGAAATTTTCATCTTACTCCCATTCACCTCATTTGAATTGCCAAGAACAGATATATCAGGAATAGGGCACATTGTATTATTCTTGCTTCCTAGCACATACAGGGTAGAGATAGCAGTTTTCACAGGGGATAAAAAAAAATAAATACAGCAGTCCAGGAAAGACTTTTTCCACTGACCCAAGAACCAGGTTCTCTGCTTAATCAGCAGAGAAACATGTCATGATTTCACAAAGACCACAGATGCCCGAAAATGAAGTCGGAGGTGATTGGACGGAGGGAAGCAGCATCAGATTTGTAACTTCATTTGGCATGTAAGTAGATTATGTGACAGGATTACTAAACATACACAGCTGTTGTCCAATACTAAACTTTCAGATGTTAAGATTATATTTACTTATTTGGCTAGGATTCTTTTTTAAAGTAACCATCATTTGCCCCCTCCCAGAGTTCTCAAACTTTTTTCTTAATGTGTACAATTCTTGATAGATTATCTCATCGTTCAGCCCCCGTCCAATTTGCAATCATATAACATCCCTGTGGCAACTACAGTTGTTGCTTGTATGCAAAACAGATATTAGGAGAGTGCTTATGTATTTTTAGATATCCTCATTGTGATTTTTTTTTCTTTCTTTCTTAAAAAAAGGCCAATCAACTATTTCTTCCTCCCATCTGTTCACTTTCTGTCTACTACTAGAAATGCTTCTCTGCCACCTGGTCTGTCTCTTCTTTCTGCTCTGCTTTTCTGGACATTCCTCTGCTGCTGGTGGTTGCAATACCTGAAGACAGCTCCTGTTTTCTTATCTACTTCACTTATGTAGTAGCAGCCCAGAGTAGAGGTAGCTAGGCTTGTTACTCCTTATTCCTGCCTGGCTTTACAGACTGGACACCTAGCAGCTGTGAACAAGAAAAATCCAGCACAGTATGACCAACCACCATCAGGAGGTGCTCCCCAAGGAGAACTCCTACAGAGTATCCCATTGTCAAGGAAATTATACCACTGGGTGTGCTCCTCATAGCTTTATATGTCTACTTCTTTGTAACAGTGGGTACCTTTTGGAACATTTAGAACCACAAAACAAAGATTCATAGGAAAACGATAGTATTATAGTCTAACCATCAAAGGAGTTAAGTTTTGGAATAGCCTTCCAAGGGAAGCAGTGGGGGCAAAAGATCTATCTGGCTTTAAGATTAAACTTGATAAGTTTATGGAGGAGATGGTATGATGGGATAACATGGTTTTGGTAATTAAATATTCATGGTAAATAGGCCCAATGGCCTGTGATGGGATATTAGATGGGGTGGGATCTGAGTTACCCAGGAAAGAATTTTCTGTAGTATCTGGCTGATGAATCTTGCCCATATGCTCAGGGTTTAGCCGATCGCCATATTTGGGTCGGGACGGAATTTTCCTCCAGGGCAGATTGGAAGAGGCCCTGGAGGTTTTTCGCCTTCCTCTGTAGCATGGGGCACGGGTCTCTTGCTGGAGGATTCTCTGCTCCTTGAAGTCTTTAAACTACGATTTGAGGACTTCAATAGCACAGATATAGGTGTGAGGTTTTTTGCGGGAGTGGTGGGTGAAATTCTGTGGCCTGCATTGTGCAGGAGGTCAGACTAGATGATCATAATGGTCCCTTCTGACCTAAATATCTATGAATCTATGAATCTATAATACAAGTAGCCTTATCAAGATGAAAAGCACAATATAGCCTTCATATAAAAATGGCTTCTTAATACATTTAAAAAAAGACTGACAGCCTCTCCCTGAAATGGCCTGACAAGTTATTGCTGTGAAAACTGTCTGCACAAGGCATTCTCTCAAGAATTAAGAAGTTTAGAAATGTTCAGTCAATTAAAAAAACTTCTCTGAATATCCCTTTAAAAAGTATCTGAGAGGTAATCCAGTTTATAATTTATCTGTACAAATAGGTCTACAGATTACAAACTCATTGAAAAACCTTTTTTAAAAAACCAAATTCTAACTAACCTGTCTGGTAAATTAGAAGATTAATACAATTAATTAAAGACATAAAGATCACCCATTCACACTTGGGTCTTAAAACTGGGTCAACTCTACTAGGAATCCTCTGAATTTCACTCAGCTATAATCTTTTACAGAAAGACAAACAGTGATAGTTCCATCAGCATTTTTAAAGCCTCATTTTCAAAGGGGCTTAGCATTCAGCAATGAAGGGGAACATCCATCACAGGCTGAAACTTGGCATTTAATGTTCAGCTGATTTTTATTTTCTATTTTTTACTGTGCTCATCACCACAACATTTGACTGCCTTCCATAGCACAGTAAGCAATGTGAATATACATCTGTCACATGTGTCCTCTCCTCCTCTCCCCAAAGTGGTGTCTCTTGTTTTGGTAGGGCTTTTTGTGCTGTTCTTGCTTGTGGTTTTTTTTTTTTTTTTAATTATTATTTATTTCTTCTTTAAATATAGCTGTTGCTATGTGTTTGTTATTAGAGAAGACAAGGTCAAAGAAATGGGTCTTACACTTGGAATGGAAACAACTGAGGTTTGTAATGGTCCTTACTTCCTGGGGGAGTTTTGTTCCTTGATTTTGGAGAAGTCTTAGAGAAAGTTCTGTCTCCCACACAGACAAGCTTTATTCTTATCGTTGAGTTCCACTGTGCCAAATGTGCAAAGCTGTCGACCATGGATGGTGAGTATCATAGGCTGGGGGAGGCTGTGCCTCCCCAAACAGCCTGTCGTGGTCCTGCCCATGTTCTGCCCCCAGACCCTCTCCTGCCATTCCCGGCATTGTACCCTGACCCAGACTGGCTGGGGCTGGCCGGCCTGCCCAGGTATATTTGTATTTCTGCAGTCCAGCCAAGAGGTGATGAAGGTATGAATAATATTTTTATACCTAGTGGGTGGCGTGTGTTCGTTGTGGGGCAATAATTTGATAGGGGAATGTCCATTTTCAGGTCCTACAAGGGGTTTTGCTTGTGTGACTTTAAACAGTCAAATGCGAAGAAGTTACTTTTAAAAACTGGCTATTTAGTCAACACTATCAACTGGGTACTTTAAGTATTTCAAGAAATATAGCAAGTGGCCAAGATATTGAAGATGAAAAATATTTTAGTGGGTACGTGGTAATTCTATTAGAGGCACCAGTCACAGCTCCACAATTACTTTAGAGTTAAGTTCTGCACTTAAAATAGGGATTCAACCTCTTATCTGTTAAAAATACAGTATATTCTCCCCCAAAATACAGCACTTAATATAGAATTTTCTGATCATTTAAAAATCTGTTAATTAGTTTTTCCAAACAAACTTTGTGACATCTAAATAAGGATGTGTTACATGTTCCAACTACATTAAAGACTAGATCCTGCAAATTATTCAGGAAATTAGTCCTTACTCAGGAGCTTAGTTAGATTAAATTTGTGTAAGGGTTAAGGATCATCTCCTGCTCAGAGGCCCTTCCTTCTTCCATTCAGATAAATAGGCAAAGCTTCTGTTCTCCCGGTCTCCAAACACAAGTAGAAGGGGATATTCAATGAAATTGAGAAGTAGCAAAGTCAAAACTGATAAAGGAAATACTTTTTCAAACAAAGCTGTTAGGCTGGAACTCACTGTCACAGGATATCATTGAGGCCAATAATTTCACAAAAATCAAAAAGGGCCTGGACATTTGTATAGATAGCAATATCCCAGGTTTTGACAGTTAATGCTAAAAGGATTATTGGAAGGGATAGAAAACCTCATGTTTCTTGGCTTAACTACCCTCCATCTATTAAGGATTAGGACAAGACATTCATGGGGGCAGATTATCCCACATCAGTCTTCTGTGGGATTTCTTGCACATTCCTGGAAATTGACAGGATACTAGACTAGATACACCATAAATCTGATCCAATATGGCGATTTCTAAATTCCAATGACAATTTTGTTATTAATTCTAACAGAACCAAAACTGATGGTGGCTCATTAAAGGAGCCATGATTCTATTGGTAAATATGCATTCCTTCACAAAATGTGTATGTTTATAATTAAACTGCATCTCCTTGAGTAAACCAAGCATGTAGTATAGCTTTTGGTTTCTCTTTAAAAGAGATGCTATCAAGAAGTTTAAGTCACCAGATAACTTTCTTTTGCACAAGCATACAGACTGGCATAGTTAATTTCTCCCTCTTTTTTAAAGAAAATTACATGACTGAATTAAAAATAGTATTTTACTTAAGTCTAAAAAGGAGAAAGAGCTGTAGCATATATATAAAACCCTCAATCCCTTCACACACACTTATTTTAGAAAATGCAAGAACTAGTAAAGTGTTAGCATTTTTTTAAAATGGAAATAGACCATTCCCTACTTAACAGCAAACTAGATTTAGGATCTAATCAGCGCTTAATTTGTGCCAGGGCTGAGCCCAGGCACTTCTAGGCTTGGCAGTTCAAAGCCCCGGCACCTCTGGGTTTATACTATGTCAGTTATTAAAGTAACAAAACTGCTCAGGCCTTGGCACCTCTTTCATTACAAATCAAGCACTGAATCATCTTGATAGCATCTTTTCCTAAACGGAAATTTAAGCAACAGGATATTGTCACATATTTGCAAATGACAGAAAATTCAAAAGTTTAAGGGTGACAACTCTAAGCACCTTAAAAGTCATTGGATCCCAGTAGATCATACCTTGTATAGAGCCCTGGATCCTTATCCAAGGCTCCATTCAACAGAGGACAAACTGTGTATTCAGGCTTTGGAAGAAGATAGTCTTCTGTGCTTTGGCAATTTCAACACACTTTTACCAATCAAGCCTTGAGAGTTCACAACTCATTCTCTGATCTTTCATCAGTTATTGTCACAATTTTAATGCTTTTTTTTTTTTTGGTAATAATAACTGAAAAAAATCTTGTCTTTTTAGGAGCAAGTCTCAGATTTATGGCAAGTACTAAATCACAGAATGCTATCGCAAGTAAGGAAAACTGCTCCCAAGAAGGGTGCTTGTTAGGACACCTCTTCCCACGTGGAGGCACCATAGTGACAATCAGCTTCAACTTTCTAGCTTGACATTCCTTAGTCACAGAATAATTCTCGGTGCAGCTTGTTCATCGAGCAGCCTTAGAAGAGCATTTTAACCGAGGCTTGTTTCCGTCCTTCCGCAATTGTCATGCAGCAGCGAGTTTACTAAAAAGGGTTGTAAAATGATCCCAAGACCATTTGCTTCTGCGTCTTCCTCCTCGCCACAAAGCCTCAGCGGGGACTTTAAGAGCTCAGCTCACTTCCTACTTCTCGGCCACTAGCAAGTGCGCTCTGACAGTGACAGCCCGAGCCACGTCCCAGATAAAAAGGAAGCCCCTCGCCCTGGAGCCATAACCTTCCTGGTGCTCTGCCAGCCCGAGGAGCCTGCCCCTCCCACCCCTTCTTCAGCACATCGCAAAGGGGGCCCCGCGCCGGACACATAAAAAGGGAGCAAGGAAAAACATCGCCCACGTGTCAGAGCCCAGCTCCGTGTCTAGCGCCGAGCATGAACTTCAGGCCCGTGTGATGCAAATGCAGGCGGGGTGCAAGGCGGCTGCTGTTCCTGTGCAGGAGGAGCGCGGCGACAGGCCGCTCCCTTACCTGGTTTGGCTGGTTTAGGTGGCGGCTTGGACATCGCGGCGGCTTGGCTTAGCACAGAGCCGGGAAACCCCTTCCTCCGCCTCCCCGCAAACTGCCCTGGGCCGGTCCCTCCTCCTGCCCGGTAACCTGAGCCCAGCGGCGGCGGAGCCCCTCCTCTGCAGCGGGCGCGGGGCTCAGGCGGAGCGGCGGCGGCTGTCCCAGCAGCGAGTCCCCGCGGAGTGCGCGCACTGCGGGCGCGGTGAGGAAGTGAGAAGAGCCGGAGCAGCAGCGAGCCGGCCGCTGGGCGCTGCTCCCTCTAGGGGCGGCTGCGGAGCCAGGCGGACGGCGGGGCTGCAGGGGTGGACCCGGGAGCGCGAGGCAACCAATCTCCGCGCGCGTCGCGCCAGGCAGGCGGCTCCCCTCCCCTCGCCCACCCAGCCTGAGCCGGCCAATCCCGGCAGTCAGCGGGACAGGACGGGGTGGGCCGTGCAGGCTGCTGCCTGTCTCCGCGCGCAGGGACGCCTGAGCGCTCGTCTTCCGGGGTGGGTGCCCGCTGCTCAGCCCAGCCGCTGGTGGGGCAGCGCTCCGCGGGGCGTCGGTCCGGCTTGGTAGTTCACGCGCACCTCTGTGCTTTCGCTGCATAGTCTTGCATTGCAGACCACCGGCCTGGGGAAGCGACAACAGAGGCCTCGGCTGCTCAGGTAACGCGGTGGGTCGCACTGGACCTGATCGTACCGCTGCGGTGCCACCTACACACCCGAACATCGCATGAAATCCGAGCCACGGCTCCAGCAGCGCCGTTCCCTTAGTTCAGGTGCTCTTGCTATGTATTTTGTGGGGCATATTTGCAAATGCTGTCCTTACGCCAGTTTCTTGAATCACGCACCGGCTAGTGACTACTGCCAAGTTGGCAGATAAAGTTGAAAATTCTCCCGGAACCTTATTTTTCCTGTGCATTCCCTTACAAATCACACACACACACCCCCCTGTAACTGTGCCACTTCAAATAATTTGGGCAGATACTTTACATATACCAGTAGTTTGCAGTGGCATAATTAAAAATTGCAGCTGAAAACTTAGGAAATGCAAAATTAAAGTACTAATTGTGTACATCTGTGTTGGGAGGATTGGTGCCTTAATGTTTGGCATTGTAGGCTGCTCATGGTAAGCCTGATGATGACCTTGCCATGTGCAATAAGATGGTATATTTGTAATTTTTTTTATTGGTCCAACTTCTATTGGCGAAAGAGTCAAGCATTGAAGTTTACACAGAGTTCTGCCTCAAAAATTTGTGTCTCACCCACAAAAGTTGGTCCAATAGAAGATACTATCTCACCAACCTTGGTCTCTGATATCCTGCGAACAATTGGCTACAATTATACTGCAAACAAAATATTTTATTACCCACTCTTGGTTTCCACTTTTCTTTATTTTTCACATATATACAAATAAAGTTGCCTGTTTTATTTACTCTGGAATCCTTCCTTTAAATTGTGACTATAGTTGATACAGACAATGACATAAATTAATGAGTTAAAAGTTTTTCAGATATGTGTAGATGGTATCTGACTTGTCAGCTAATACTGCTTTTGCGTCAAACCTTACCTGCACTGAAAGGCCTTTATTGATCATTATAAAATATTTGTCATTTGCTAAGGGCTTATCTACACTTAAAATGCTACAGTGCACGGATGCATTACTGCAGCGCTTCCGTGTAGATAGTACCTATCTCCCGTTGGCATAAGTAATCTACCTTCCCAAGAAGTGGTAGCTAGGTTGATGGAAGAATTCAGTCTAGGTGAACACCCAAAGTGTCCAAGAAAATCCTCCAAAAAATTGGGAAAACAAGATCTGAGATTCCTGATACTGTAATGTTAAAAATAAAAAATCAGAAAAGGAAGTTCCCAGAAGAAACTTGAAACAAAACAGGACACAAACTCATTTCCCGCCCCCCCCCCCCCTTCCCTAGGTTACGTTCAAGGGCCCAATCTGCAAACACTTTTTACTATTGCACTAAGTAGTCCTGTTTTCTTTAATGGGACTGCTCATAACAGTGAGAACTATGCTTGGTAGTAAGCAATTGCAGGGTTCGGCCTTAAAGGAGCCCTCATGGTAAGACTGTGAAGACAACTCAATAAAAGTGGTAGAGGTTGAAAACCTTTAAAATGCTTTTTGTGGATAATTGGTGTTTTCCTGTGTAGCAGCTGATTTTGTCATTGTCCAAATAGGTTTGTTCATTGTTCATATTTTAAACAGTGGAAAGAAGGGAACTGGATAGAACACAAATTATGAAGGTGTTAGTCATTGGACTTGGAGGGTAAGTGCAAACAAGTTCAGTCTCTGTTAAAACAAAAATTTAAGATTGCCTCAAACTCCATATTGCGATCTAACAATCCCTGAGTGTGAATATAGCTGTCTTTAATTACTTTTTTTAAAAAACTTAAGCTTAATATTGTACTGTCAATTGTATTTAATTCAGGGGCATAGCCACAGATGGGCTGGGGTGGGCCGTTAGCATCCAGGCCCATCCAAATCTGAGCAGGGGTATAGTGGTGCCACAGTGCCCCGGAGCATCACTCTGGCACCTGAAATCCAGGACGGAGGTATGCGCCTGCCCTTCAGAAAGCTACGCTCCCACAGCTCTGCCTTGCCGTTTTCTGAGCCACCCTATGCGCATGCCCAGCTCGGCAAGTGAAGCCCTGTGTCTGGGGGTATCAGGGCTTGGAAGAGGGCATGGCATTGGGGGAGAAGCTGAGCTACCACAGTCTGTCATTGCCCGTCCACCTGAAAGTCAGGGTCCACCCAAATTTCCACTCCTAGCTATGCCACTGGTTTAATTTTTGATATCTTGTCCCACCCTCCACCATAGATTGACCCTCTCAGACATCAACTCTAGTCTTCCTCTTTTCCATAGTCCTATAAGCAGACTAAAATTAGTGAAAAGATAGAATTGTAGGACTGGAAGGGACCTCAAGAGGTCTAGTCCAGTCCCCTGCACTCATGGCAGGACTAAGTATTTTCCAAACAAATGTTAGGAAACTGCAAACAGTATTTAATATTCTGAATAAAATTAGATTTTTTAATTGCCTTTTTGCTAGCGCACATTGCACATTATTCATTATTTTTGTCCTGACCCACTGTTTGTTCCATTTTCAAAATCAGTGTGACAAATGGGGGGAAAACAACACTGGCAAAACGACTTGGGAAACAGCTTCCGAACTGCAGTATACTCTATCAAGATGACTTCTTTAAGGTAACTGAACTGATGGAATGACTTCATACATAAAAGTAGACTTTAAATGTAGTTCCTGCAAGACTCTATTCTTTTTTCTTGATCTATCAGTATGTGACAATTTAAAATGAAATTCCGTTCATAGAGTCAATATAAAGTATTATCTAGAAGAGAGGGAAATATAATTAAGAATGCTATAATAATGTTAAAGCTTTCGGTTGCCAAAAAATATTAAGAACATGACTAACAGAATAATCATCTCGCTGCATCCTCTGATATTTAAAGGTGAGTAGAGAAACAAATGCATTTCAGGGAATGCTTCATGCTATTGAATTCATCTTTTTGCAGTTCATTTTTAACTCTAGATAGAAAATAACAAATAGAAACAAAATAGCAACAAAAATTAAATATTGTTGCTTGTTCTTTCATATCTTAAAATGCAAAAGCATATCTGTATCTGTATGAGTGAGAGGGGCCTGTTCTTGTTCCTGATGTGGCTCTTGTTCTCGAGTAAAACTATAGTTTATTCAGAAGTTAATATTAAAATCCAGAGATGCTTGTGTTTATATAATATGTGATATATTATCAATATCAATTTCGGTAGATTAGTAAATAATTTTACCTGGATGGTACTATTTTGGGGGGGACATGTGGGAAAATTATTTTTTATTTGAAGAGTAATTTTGGGGAGTCTTAGTGATACATCAAGATTAAATTGGGAGGGGCGGGGAGCAACACTCCTGCTATGTTGCAATCCACTGTTTATGAAAAATACTGTGAATATTCTACTACGGTCTTTTCTTACACCACACGCTTCTTTGGCTTCCTGTTTCTCCCCCTGCCCATGTTACATTTTCTGCTTCATATCCTAGTAACCTAACCCTTCTCCCTAAGCCGTTCACACTGGCCTTCCGGCCTTCTATCCATCCATACCATAAATACTACACAAGGGAATTCAGAGTAATAGGGTTACTATTGCCTTGTGGCCTTCATTGCATTTTTTTCTCTCTAGCCAGAATCTGAAATAGAGATAGATGAACATGGATTTAAGCAATATGATGGTAAGTGAATTGGTATATTGTTTTTGAACATTATGTATTAACTTTAGGTTCTGTTTCTTTTGGATCAATGTAGTCATCAATGGGGACAGTGTTTTGCTTTGTTTTTAAAAAAAAATGGTTAGTGGGGTATGTCTGGCAAAAAATATATATAATTCGATAGAGGATTTTTTCAGGATGTTGGTTTAACAAAAAAGTCAGTATTTTAAAAGTTCATCATCATCATCGTACTGGACAGTTTAATAGAGCATACCTTTATTTGCTTATTACACAATACTATTACTATGGAATGGCAATAATATTTTAACTTTCTGCATTTATCACTGACTTTATAGCTTTCTGTTTTGCAAATTAGCTAGCCTTTTCTGTTTCTCCAGAAACAGCTCTTGCTTAGCATAGGGTATTATGAACATTTCTTCTAGTGACAGCATGTATCTAAAGTTCTGAGGAGATGGGTCTCCAGACTGCTTCATCCAGTGCTTTCCTTTTCTAGAGGCTAGTTAAACAAACGATCTGCAACAGACTTTTATTCTCTCTATTCTTGGTCTTCTAAATTATGGTGCATGACACAGCCAACTGTCTGTTGCTTATAGTGAAACCTTTTCAATTTATTAACCTGTCAATATTAAGACTCTTCTGAACAGCATTAGTAGTTGTGATTTCAAACCTAATACCAATTACACCATTTTACAGTGTTAAATGTTTGTTTTTGTTTGGTCATTTAGGACCATATTCTGGCATCCTTACTCATTTTGGGTAGCCTCTTGCTTCACAAGTAGCCCCACTAACTTAATAGGGCTACTTGTGGAGTATGTTGTCAACATGAGTATCAGAATCTGGCCCATAACGAGCAATATGCACCTTAAAACCAAATAAGTAAAATATAGATATTAATATCTTATTCTTGTTTGACAGTAACTTAGAGAAAACTACATTCCAGAGGTGAAATTCTGACACCCTCCCCACCCCCACAACCCAAAGTCAGTGGTAGTTATATTTCAATTCCAGGCCAGTTAAATGAAATCAGATGTAATATAGAAAGTTATCAGATTAAATTAAATTGCACTATTTGCTAAATGATTATCCCTTTTTTCCCCATTTGTAGAGTTGCACCTCATGACATGAAATGTCCGTGTTTTGTTGAATGGCTGTTAGCCTGCAAAGTTAGTGTAGGCCCAATCCTGGGAGATTTTGAGCACTTCCCGTAATATCCTCAACTCCTGATGTGAAGTCACTGAGAATCAAGGCTGCTTAGCACCTCCCAGAATCACATCCTAAATGAAGCAAGATCGGATTCAAGTTTCAACCTTTTTCTAATGCAAGAAGTCTCACTGAGTTCAGGACTGTACCACAGACCAAATGTGTTGTAGATTATAACTAAAAATGAGTCCAAATTGCAATTTGAGATCTGAATCTAAACTTTAAATTCTAGGCTAGTCATCAGGCCATCTCTAATTATAAACCTACAGTTTAATATCCTGCAGCTGATCTAAGATTTCCTGTAATACATGGGTATTTATAACATTAGCCTAAACCTTGAATTCTGTGTTTACTACCAACATTCATCAGCTATGTAACTTTCAGTTCAACTTCTGAACTTCACTCAGTTGACAATGAAACTAGATGAATCAGCTGGACATTCTGGTTCACATGCCCAAGTTCAGTGCTGTTGGTTTAGGTTCCAGTAGTAAATGGAAATGTTAACATTTAAATTTCCATTTCTTTTAAATTAACCCTGCGTCTTTTACTTAACACCTACATTTAGCTCTTAAACCATTTGACAGGGTTTCTGCTTAACTCAGAAATAATGCAAAAATTAAAAGCCAAAACAAAAACACCTAACCTTTTGTGTCTTTTCTAGTACTTGATGCCCTTTATATGGAGGAAATGGTGACAAGCATATACTCATGGATGAAAAACCCAACGGGCTCTTCTGTCTCAACAGCAGAATCAAAGAGTACACCTCTCAATCTGAAAAGTACAGAAGAAGTTCACATTTTAATAGCTGAAGGTTTTCTTCTGTATAACTATGAGTAAGCAATGCTACCTAAGAAATAATTTTTAAAATGTCATGTTATTCACGCCCCATTTACAGTTGATATTAGGGAAACAAAATGACTAAACATGCTGTCATCTTAGGCCTCTTAATGAAGTATGGGATAGAAAATATTTTCTGACCATTCCATATGAAGAATGCAAGAGGAGAAGGAGGTAATGTTTTAAAATTATTGCTCACTGCAGATCACTATGCCCTAGTACCCGTAAGATAAAAAGGTTCCTGTATGCCAGTGTGTTCTCACACATCCACCAACTGTAATAACTCTTAGAGCAGAGACTGCTGACCCTCCTCAGTCCCTTCGTGTGATCTTGCTATTGCTGAGGTAGTGAGCTCCGCCTTGTTACTATTCCATCCCTGAGGGTAGAGCCTTTGTGGTTCCCAGGGAAGTTCAAGCAGCATCTATAATCCTTAAATGTATAGATCCATCCCCTGTTTATCACTATTATTATTATTATTCATATTGTAGGTGTGCATGGGGACACCAATCACTGTTCAGACTGCCAGTGTACAGAAACAAAGTAAAAAGCCCCTCGCCCAAGGAACGTAAAATATAGGTTAATTACAGTACAATGGCACTTAAGCATTATTTAAAAGGGGACAGAAACAAAGTGTTTACTCTTGCAGCTACAAGAAACTGTGCCACTACAATGCTGTTCAGTGGCAGAGTTGACATGCAGTTACGTTGTGTATTATTTGAGTTAGATATTGGCCCTTTTCTGCCTTCAGTTACTGTTGCAAATCTGGTTTTGATGGTGTTATTCTAGAATGACACAAGTTAATCTAAGGTCAGAATCTGATTCACTGATTGCAGAATTCCCATATTCATAATGGCCTATGTTTTGAAAAGTGACTAGTAGATTTTGGGCTCCTTTCTTTCTAGGAGCCCAATTTAAGAGACCTTGAATTCAATCATCAAAAGGTGGGTACTCAGCACTTCTGAAAATCAGGCCCTCTAAGGCAGTGGTTCTCAATCAGGGGTATGCATACCCTTGGCGGTATGCAGAAGTCTTCCGGGGGTACATCACCTCATCTAGATATTTGCCTAGTTTTACAACAGACTACATAAAAAGCACTAGTGAAGTCACTACAAACTAAAATTTCATACAGACTATGACTTGTTTATACTGCTCTATATACTATACACTGAAATGTAAGTACAATATTTATATTCCAATTGATTTATAATGGTAAAAATGAGAAAGTAAGCAATTTTTCAGTCAGTGTGCTGTGACACTTTTATTTTTTTTATGTCTATTTTGTAAGCAAGTCCAAGTCGTCTTTAAGTGAGTGAAACTTGGGGTATTTAAGACAAATCAGATACCTGAAAGGAGTACAGTAGTCTGGAAAGGTTGAGAGCCAGTGTTCTAAGGTGTTGCAAGTTGAGCAACCAAAATCACTAGTCCCTTCTCAGAATTTAGACCAATGTGAAAAATATTCTCTGTGATAGAAGTGTATTTTGGCTATTCTTATGTAACTTACTTATGCAGTGAAGTTTGTTTAAGATGCAACATCTGTTTCAATAAGAATCTGCTCTTACCCAGTTTTGCAGTTGAAATGATCGGCAGAAATAGGTGATTTGATAGAGGTCATGTGGGCAATATGCGAAATCCTGTTATAATTAAGGAGTCTCCTTTGCTGTGACCAGCAGATACACAGCCTCCCTCTCTCTTAATATTTTGGATAGATATTCGTACTAAATAAACGATGAAGGGTATATGTGAGCACACCAGAAAAAAAAATGTAAAACTTGCACAAGAAAGCAAATATATTTTTCTGTAGTACCAGAGTTTATCAACCGGCAGATCCACCAGGATACTTCGATGGACATGTATGGCCTATGTATCTGAAACATAAGAGGGAAATGAAAGAAAATACAAATAATATTGGTATGATATACATAATCTTTAAACATATAAAAATGATTAAAAGTAGTAATTTTTGCAAATCACTCTATTTTTCCTTTTTTTTTTTTTTTGGCATTTACGATTTACGCTGCAGTGTTAGATGCATTTATTGTCTGCTCATAGATAAGTGATTTTCATGCAAGAAAATCTTGTAGAGATTACCCACCTTTGTGAGTTATAGGAATAAACAAAAATGCATTGGTCACCTTGACTAGTGATTCCTAAACTCCATGTGACAAACCAGTTTGTGTGTGTGTGTGTGTGTTTAACTAGAAAAATTGTGGGGAGTTATATGGCTCATTGAGTTGATGCATTAGAATGTGGCTTACAATCCTGATTTAGGTCTTTGGGCTTGTCTACACTGCCCACCGGATCGGCGGGAAGTGATCGATCCAGCGGGAGTCGATTTATCACATTACTATAGACACGATAAATCAACCGCTGAGTGCTCTCCTGTCGATTCCGGTACTCCTCCAAAACGAGGAGTGCAAGCGGAGTCGATGGGAGAGTGTCAGCTGTTGACTTACAGCAGTGACGACAATGCGGTAAATAGTTCTAAGTACATGGACTTCAGCTACGCTCTTCATGTAGCTGAAGTTGCGTATCTTAGATCGACCCCGCGTGGTAGTGTAGACAATCCCTTAGATAGAATAAGTTTAATAGATTCCTCCAAGTTGTACACATTGCCAAGCCACTACACAGTCTGACATAAGACATGTCAGGATTTTGGTGCTTTGGTGGAACTATGTAGGGAAGTTTGCATAATACCAAGCAAATAACGCTGTTAGAACCTGATCCTGCAACATGTGGAGCACCTTCAGCTTGTATTGAATGGCAGTTAGGCATGCTCAACACTGTTCATGATCAGGCATTAAATTCTTTCTTCTTTTATTGATCAATATCATACTAAAGATTTGTATTTATCAAAAAGGTTAATGGTGAAATTCACCCGAGTGGCAAGAGATCGTGCAAGGCTCTGTGCATCATGTATTGGGTGTACATAGAGCCTCTTACAGGCTCTCTACTAGAGTGAACTATGCCAAAATAAATGTGTGAATTAGCTGAAGCACATGTTTGAAAATCAGTGGGTGTGTGAGAGATGGGATGGGGGAGGGAATAGAAACTGCCTTTAAAAAAAAAAAAAAAGAAAAAGCCTTGAAGGATCATCTCAGAAGTAGAGTTGTTCCTTTGGGTCACTTTCAAATGGATTATGCTGGAATTATGGGACATATAGTCATACATAATCTTTAGCTGGGGCCCTGTTAGAAGTAACCCATCCTGACACTGATTTACAAATAAAATCATAGAACTGGAAGGGACCTAGACAGGTAATCTAGTCCAGGCTTCTGCACTCGTGGCAGGACTAAGTATTATCTAGACCATTCCTGACTGGTGTTTGTCTAACCTGCTCTTAAAAATCTCCAATGATGGAGATTCCACAACCTCCCTATGCAATTTATTCCAGTGCTTAACCACCCTGACAGGAAGTTTTTCCTACTGTCCAACCTAAAACTTCCTTGCTGCAATTTAAGCCCATTGCCTCTTGCCCTATCCTCAGAGGTTAAGAAAAACAATTTTTCTTCCTCCTCTTTGTAACAACCTTTTAAATACTTGAAAACTGTTATCTTGTCCCCTCTCAGTCTTCTCTTTTCCAGACTAAACAAACTCCATTTTTTCAATCTTCCCTCATAGGTCATGTTTTCTAGACCTTTAATCATTTTTATTGCTCTTCTCTGGACTCTCTCCAGTTTGTCCACATCCTTCCTGAAATGTGGCGCCCAGAACTGGACACAATTCTCCATTTGAGGCCTAATCAGTTCAGAGTAGAGCGGAAGAATTACTTCTCATGTCTTGCTTACAACACTCCTGCGAATACATCCTAGAATGATGTTCACTTTTTTTTGCAACAGCGTTACATTGTTGGCTCATATTTAGCTTGTGTTCCACGATGACGCCCAGATCCCTTTCCGCTGTACTCCTTCCTAGGCAGTCATTTCCCATTTTGTATGTGTGCAACTGATTGTTCCTTCCTAAGTGGAGTACTTTGCATTTGTCCTTATTGAATTTCATCCTATTTACTTCAGACCATTTCTCCAGTTTGTCCAGATCATTTTGAAATTGAATTCTGTCCTCCAAAGCACTTGCAACCTGTCCCAGCTTGGTATCGTCTGCAAATTTTATAAGTGTACTCTCTATGCAATTATCTAAATCATTGATGAAGATATTGAACAGAACTGGACCAGAACTGATCCCTGCAGGACCCCACTTGTTATGTCTTTCCAGCATGCCTATGAACCACTGATAACTACTCTCTAGGAACAGTTTATTCCATTCTATTGCGTCAAAGTATCTTTGCCTTTTTATTAAAAAAGACAACAAAACTGGCTAGCGGTTACATTTGTTAAAGCTTGTTGTTTAAAAGTGAAAAAAACCTTTACTCTGTCTGTAGCAGCGTTTTTTAACCCTTAGAGAATCTGCTTGTTTGTGTTCTTTTTTGGGAGTGCTGCTTTTTTCTCTTGAATGAGAGGCTGAATTATGAGACTTCGGTTTCTACTCAATTTCATAGTTAAAAAACAAAAAAAACCATGTCTTGTGCCCAGGGAGACTGACATCCCCACTCTGTAATTAGGAGATGCTGGTCTATTTTCAGAAACCTGGATCTTTTATGGAAAACAGAAGAGGGGAATGAATGTAGGCTTCCAGAAAATGGAAGACTCTATTGAATAAGCACCTGCAACATGGGTGTTCTCTCCACAATCTGAGAAAATGCAGTTCAACTGTTTGAAATGAAGCTAGTGGTGCCCAAAGCCCTGATAATTTAAGAACCCTGTGTGTATGATATTGTCCCCTGCAATCCCAGCTTTTCATTGTTGATCCTCTTGCCCTCTAAACGCTATGCTGAGGAATTGCCTGGTATTGTACTGGCTGAAGTGGGAATGTTTTCTTGTTCCTAAGAGGGGTCTCATCCATATACTGATCAGATCAAATCCTGCTTAGCGTGAAATTTGATATGCTCAGATAACAGAGGGCTGCAGAAGGATGCTGAGAGACTCAAATCAGCATTCTCAAAATCTCTCAAACCTTGGGTCTGGAGAGGATTTATTATTATTTTTTTTTAATGACAGAATAAATGTCAATCCTGCAAAAAGGAACAATAAAAGAGCCATATCCAACTTTTCCTCAGGTCCGGTCTACATTAGAAATATTTTTGCTGGGATAGCAATGTCAGTTGGGGGTGTGACTTGATTTTTCTTTTTGCAGTGTTTCTATACACTGGGGCTTTTGCAGGTAGACTGTTATATTGACATAAGTGTTCTTGCTGGTCTAGCTTATTTTGCTTGCCAAGCTGGGATAAGCACTTTTTTGCCAGTTTAATAGGTGCCTCCACACTAGGAGGATCTGCCAATATAACTATACTTTTCTAATGTAGACCTGGACTTCATCAGCCAATCCATATTTATAGTTGGGTAGGAAAAACAGTTTTGTTAAGTTTGTCATTATTTCCTTTAGGGATGGGGAAAGTAATAAAAGAGTATGCATAGCACAAAGATTTAATCTGTCTCTCCCCCCGCCCCCCCCGCTCAAATAAATAAATAAATAAAGTAAATATATAATATATATTTTTAACCTAAACACCCAGGAGTATTAGAGATTACAGCACATTCATCATCGTATCCTCTCCCCATTAGGAGAGTTATTACAACCTAGCTGGAGGTCCTAATGATTACATACATAATGGGCCACAGAAGAATATTAATTTGCATTAACCATCCACTTTCTAGTTGGCTGCGCAAGTTCTGGCAGTAATGGTTCCCAACCTTCTTCACCAAGGGGCTTCCCTTACAAGGGAAAATTTCTGCGGAATTTCTCAGCTTACCATAGAACTAGGATTTCTGTCCTTTTGGGATGACTCTAGACTATGTATTTTTAAAAATGAATCTGGTATTTTTGGGTGGATTGATCCCCTATTTATGGACTTTTATTTAAGCAATATTGGGAGAGGAAGTATTCTTGATTTCTATCATGATAGCACCTACAGATGCCATTCGGGATTGTGCTGGGTGTTATACAAATTTATAGGAAGTTACTAATTAAAATGAACTGTAATATTGTGACCACTTTTCTCTCCCCTTCTTTCTCAGTTTATTTGGATGGAACAAAATCTGAGGAAGACCTTTTTTCACATGTGTATAATGATATAGTACGGGAGCTAGAAACATGGAATAAGTAAGTCGTCTTCGGGAAATTGGAACAGGATAAGGGAACTCATTAACAAAAATCTATGCCAATATTAAGGGATAATGTAAATACCTAGCATTTGAAGTCCTGTGTTACAAAACTCTTGTTTTTCTACATAGGAAGCAAAAAGCTGAAGAAACAGCTTTTTTTGTGTGTGTGGTCTGAGTCTTAGATCTAAAATACTTGGACTCTCTGGAACCATAGATTCCAAGTACACCGGTATTGGCTTAGCCCTTCATCCTTTTGTGGTATGCTAATAGAGTATACTAATTGCTTACTATGGGTGGGCTTTAAGTAAAACTTTAAAAACTGAGCCTATGTTGGTGCTTCTCGGTCAGAGAAGAACTTAATGGCGTTTCGTTTAGAACTAGATTTTGACTATTTTCTTTGACCCCACTGAAAGACTGAGTTATTTTATCATTTTAGATCCCCTCTCTGTTCTCACTCTTATTGGTGCTTGTTGCATGTTAGGAGTAACCTTTTTATTATGTTCCCCCAAATTCTCAAACCACTGCTTTTCATAAGTGGAGGAATTAGGCCTGTGGATTTATTCACAACTAGAGAGAATAGGAAGGCTCTTGAATAATGATTTAAATATTGAAGAACAGGGAAATTTAGTAAATCTAGTTTTCCTAATCCCCTATTCCACACGTTATTTGATTTGTAGTTATGGGGTGATTTTATTCTCTCTCTACTGAATTCTCACAATCATTAGAGTGATTTAGCTAAAATGCCCCCTTTCTTTCTTTAGATTAGGAAGCATACACACACCTTTTTTCTTATTATTATTTTTAATTAAACAGTAGTTAAAGGAGTTGCAGCACTAAGCTAACTGAAGTCTGTCAAATAATATCTCAACTGGTTCTTAAAAAGAACTCTAGAGGAAGAATCAATGCATCTTTATCTGAAAGAAAAAGCAAGTTTGTGTCTTAATAGTTGATCCCATAAGTCTGTCCTTTCTACTGTGTATAACGTGTGCAATGCTTTTACTACCTCTTTGATACTGATGCAGTGCAGTGAATGTATCGATATCGCTGGTCAGTCTCTACATTTATTTTGTAACTCAAAATCCATTAACATTTGAATGTTCATAAAACATACATCATATGTGATATAGACAACTGGGTACAGAGTTGTGACTGATCTTTACTATTAAAAATAAGAGAGAGGGGAAATGAGGTAGCAAAACCCCAGCCAAATAAACCTCCTGGTTATGGTTTGTGCCAATACATAGCATGCATAATAGGCATGCAGAGAAGGTCATCACAAATACCAGCTATTCAGAGTGAAGCAAGTTAACATTAATTGAAAAATTAAAATTAAGTGAAAAATAATTAAAAATACAGTCAATGATATTGTGTGGATGTGCCATCCTTATGAATGAGAGGGATGTTTAGTATCTTAATGTAGATTATATAGAAACTGAATATAAATACTTGTTTTACAACTCTTCAGATCTGGAACAGATCAATAGCTGGATAGCAGAATTAAGAGATATATTTGAAAGTTTTTGAGAGAAAGTGGTAACATTATGTTTGAGGGGAAAAAAGGTTTGACAAGATTTGAGCAGTAGAGGGGAAAGAATTACGTATTTTGAGCTTCAGGCAGGTGACAAGAATTGTGATGGACATATAATAGATGCCCTGTAATATCTGTGAACTGATATCTTTACTTTTATTTTTTTAAGGTGAGCAGGTCACAGCAAAACCATGTGAGAAGTTGAGATTCTTTCCAGTATGGATTCAGGGTCAATTTTATGGTGTCCGGATGGATCACTTTGCCAATCTACTGTATGTACATCAGTAACACCAGTTTATACAAATCCTCATTGTACTGTAGTGACTGCTATTTCTGTTAGAGTTATAAATATTGATGAACAGACAGTATAGGTCATCCAGTAGTCCAGAGCAGTATTTTTAAAGTGATAGCCTTGCTCAGAGTGGCATCTGTAACTCTGTGTCAAACTTTAAACCTGATTTAATATTTAATCATGTAATATACAGAATTTGAAAATTACTTTAATGTATGAAAATATAGCCCTGGATATTTCATAAATATACTTTCATAAGTATACACTATGTGCACAATTTCATATGCAAGTAAAATATTTTTGGAATTTAAAATCACAAATGCATAGTGATTGCATATGAGTAATATAGGGAAAAATAGAAGTAATAGCTCATAAAATATTAAATGAGTATTAAATGACATGTGGTTAAAGAGGCAAAAGCCATTTTGGAAGTATGTAAATAGAGGTATTGCTCTTGAGACCACAGAATTCTTCCTCTTTCACATGGTGCTTGTTACACAACACTCCAGATGTAGTCTATTGTTTGGGGCATATGGAAAGGATAGTGATAATTTGAAGAGCAACTACTAGGCCATAGAAAGAGTTGTAGGATAAGAAGAGAGGTTGGTGGTAGTTCAGGTGTGTTAACAGTGATAGGATGAAAAACATGCAGCCTGGAAAATAAGAGGTTTGGAGTTGTAAAAGATTCTGGATGACAAATGTACAAAAGATGCTACAAAAAAGGAGAAGGAAAGAATAAGATTCTCATTAATCATAAATGATTAGAAATAAATGAAAAAACAATGTGATTAGAGAACAGAAAAATTATATGGTTTAGATCAACTAAGGCAGTGTTTCCCAAACTTGGGATGCCGCTTGTTCAGGGGAAGCCCCTGGCCTGGATTGGCGAACCACGGCCAGTGAGAGCCGTGATCGGCCAAATCTGTGGACGCGGAAGGTAAACAAACCAGCCCAGCCCGCCAGGGGCTTTCCCTGAACAAGCGGCGTCCCAAGTTTGGGAAACACTGAGCTAAGGAATAGTACCAGCTTCTTCTTCATATAAAAATATATAAATACACACAGGGAGGACTTAAAACTATTTGAAAACAAACTATCTTTTGAGGATTGTCTAGATACCTTAATTCTACTCAAACTAAAGGTGAAAGCCATATAACCTACTACATCGGGGTAGCCAACCTGTGGCTCCGGAGCCACATGCAGCTCTTCAGAAGTTAATATGCAGCTCCTTATATAGGCACCGACTCCGGGGCTGAAGCTATAAGTGCCAATTTTCCAATGTGCCAGGGGGTGCTCACGGCTCAACCCCTGGCTCTGTACAGACCCTGCCCCTAATCCACCCCTTCCTACCCCCTCCCCTGAGCCTTCCATGCCCTCGCTCCTCTCTTCTCTCCCCTCCCTCCCCCCAAGACTCCTGCACGCCACGAAACAGCTGAGCGGGAGGCACTGATCGGTGGGGCTGATGGTGGGTGGGAGGCGCTGGGAGCTGGGGAGGGGGCTAATGGGGAGTGGGAGGCTGCTGACGTATTACTGTGGCTCTTTGGCAATGTACATTGGTAAATTCTGGCTGCTGTTCAGGTTGGCCACCCCGTACTACAGGGTCCTTCTGGCCCTAAAAGTTCTAGTATTGTTCGCTTTCAGGCATTTTTGGTAGCACAGAAATGTGGTTTTTTTGGTTGGGATATTTTTAGCCTGATGACTTAATATGGTAGCTATCTTGACTTTCTGATCATGAATGCAATATTAAGACCTTTACAGTATACAGAAAATACATTTGTGGTGATCTACTAAAACAGAAGCACAGTGTAAGTGTTTGTAGAAATATGTTTAAGATGAAATACTTTCTAATGTGAATTTCTGTATCTCCGTTTTATACAAAAATAAAATATACTGTTTTCTGAAATGGCTTGTGAGAACAATAAATGGCTTTAAACATATATGTTTATTTTGCAGGCAGGTGTGCAGTCATATGATAGCAAAGCAAGTATGTATTAGACTAGTTGCTACTTGCCAGAAACTTCTTATTCTGATGCTCAGAAATCCTGGATTCTGTCTCTGGGGTATAAGTACAGTAAGACAGATAAAACTGGGGTTGTTAAATTAGAGATTTGGGTTCTATTCCTAACTGTGGTTGGAGAAGGTAAAATAGAAATGGGTATAACCTGTTAGTTAACTTTAAGTCCTTAAGAGCTATGATCTTTGATACATCTTTAGATTTTAGCTGTATTTTAAAGATATCTTTACAATACAATGTATTATACCATAGATCAGTGGTTCTCAACCGGGGTACATGTATTCCTGAGGGTACGCAGAGATCTTTCAGGGGGTACACCAAATCACCTAGATATTCGCCTAGTTTTACAACAGGCTATATAAAAAGAACTAGCGAAGTCAGTACAGCCAACTAGCGAAACATCATACAGACAATGACTTGTTTATACTGCTCTATATACTATAAACTGAAATGTAAGTACAATATTTATATTCCAATTTATTTTATATTTATATGGTAAAAATTAGAAAGTAAGCAGTTTTTCAGTAATAGTGTGTTGTGACACTTTAGTATTTTTGTGTCTGATTTTGTAAGCAAGTAATTAAGTTAGGTGAAACTTGGGGTAAGCAAGACAATTCAGACTCCTGCAAGGGGTACAGTAGTGTGGAAAGGTTGGGGGCCACTGCCATAGATAAGTTTTTTCTAAACTAGCTACCGTTAACTTTAACTGAGGCTGGAATTATATCTGCCTTCTATTCTCAGATTTTCTCCATCTGAGGGATCCTATTTAGACACCTCTGTATCCCTGCATATTCTTATATATTTTAAAAATATATCAACGCGATAGATCTGTCTTTTAGGATATTACTATCATTTGTGTAACGTAGTGTTTTGCTGTGTTGCAGGAGCACAAGTCCTGTGGTGATAAAAATAGTTAATATAAAATAGAACAAGTAGCCAAAAGCATCTTTCATTTTCATCTAAACAAGATGCTGGACTTTGCTTTGGCTGGCCCTCGCTGTCCTCATTACCACTTATTATAAGCAAGACGACTCCTTCCTCTCACACTCTCTGCTCTTACTTTTTTGTGTTATGGTCCATTCTTAGGATAGGGCTCCCTCCTGCCCTCCAGTGCCATTAACAGCAAAACTGCCCTGGAGTTAGAAAGGAGCAGAGTCCAATCACAATATATGTGTTACTGACGTGCAGATTTAATTTTTTTTATTAACGCTAATGTTAAAAATTATACAGTACCCAGGTGAAGAAAAGAGTGTCTATAGATCTGGGTATAGGGCTTAAATTATCCAACCATGCCCTTTGCAAGGGCTGGGCCGCTCACGGTGAGAGGGGGCAGTTGCCCCCTGGTACCCTGTTTCTTTACATATAGGTATGGCACCTCTTTAAACATATTTTTCAATGGAAAATAGTCACCACTGACTCATCCCTTCTCTTCTCTCTCTCACTCCCCCCCGTTACAAACTACTGCCCCTTTCTTTGCTGTCGCCTGGGGCCGCGCTACGCTCTCTGGCCAGGGAGAACGTCTCTGCTGCAGCCAGGCTGCAGTCTAGCGGCTCCGGCTCTCCTCCCTCTGGTGTCTACGACACCCGATCTGGATCCTGCCAGTAGAGGGGAGGGGCATAGGGTACACACCTCCCCCCGCGACAGTCCGCGGTTAGGCCGTTCACTCGTCTCTTCTCTCTTGCGTTGTCTCACGATAACTCACGAGCGGGTAGGAGGGGTCGGACGGACTTTTGTGCGGCTGCGCGGACCGTGCCCGTTGCGTATCGCCGTTGGAGGGCGGTGTCCTCCCGTCAGATAAAGCAAGTACTCGGCCAGGCGCGCGCGTGCGCCTCTTTCGCTCGTGCCGGAAGCGGGCGGGGAAAGCGTTGGAGTTGTCGGCCGCGTGCGGCCTGTCCTGGAAGGGGCAGCTCCCGCTGCAGCCGCAGCCCTGAGGCGAGGAGGACACACCTCGGTCAGGGCGATGCTCAGGGGGCGCCGGCAGGGGGACTGGGAAGGGGATGGGGGGGAACAGCGGCCGTGGCGAGACCGGGCAGGCTGCGACGACGGGGAGGTTCCGTTCAGCAGCGAGCGGCTCAGGCGAAAGCAGCCGGAGCAGGGGACGGTGAGCAGGATGGAGGAGGAGGAGGAGGAGCGGCTGGAGGGGGAGCATTTCCGGAGAATTATCAACGCCTTCCGATATTACGGGTAACCGATACCCTGCTCCGCGGAAGACCAGGGACTCCCCCCCCCCCCCCGCCAGGTTTCCTGAATCCGAGAGACCCCGCCGCACGCTCCCCTCCCCCGAGGCCGAGAGACGAGACCCCCTACCCAATTCCCAGGCCTGGGCTTCCCCCGCCCTGACCCCGAAGAAACTAGCCGGGTGGAGCCAGGAAGTCACTGCCTATATAACCTTTCTGCCCATTTTCTCCCATGCGCCCCTTTCTCTCCCATCCCACCCCCCACGCCACAGGTGTGTGTCTGCTCCCCATCGCTCTCTCTGTCCCCCCATGACAGTTGTTTCTAGTTTTTCTCTTATAACTGTGGAAATACAAACTTATTTAGAAGTGGAGCTGAGTGCATGTATAGAAGTGATAGCAGAGCATGTTGGTTAAGCTGGTGCTTTGTTAGCTGGAGAAATACTAGAAGCGTGTTGAGGGATCTTCATATCTTCCCTTTCGGGCAAAGTTGCTTAATTACAGGAGATGAAGTGAGAAGCACATTTTTCTGTTTTTTGAAGTGAACCTGATTGAGTTTTGGATAATAAATGTAAAAGTACATAATTATTCATAAACATTTATTTTGGACTGTTGAGATTGAACTTTACAGACTATTAAAACACTGCAAAAACCAGGTCAGTTAACAGCATTGTATTCAGTACTGACGTTGAAGGATATAACTAACTCTCTGAGCTTGGTTTCCTACCAAAATAGTGCTTTATGGCCCTTCAAAAAACAATAAGCTAGAGTAGAAAGCTTCAAAAATAATTTTCTCCCGAATGTATAGAACAGAGGAGACACATCAAATAGTTTAAACCAAAAATAAATGATCTAGAGAAAGCAACTGTTTATAGCCACACTTGTGACATTAACTTGGAAATCATATGTCTTCCGTCACTTTAGAACCTTTTAGCAAATTTAAATACATGAAACAGATTTGGGATGTTATGATCCATATTATACTTTTTATATTTCAATTGACTAACTTAACATCTGGGGCCATTATAGTGTAGTGGTCTTGTTTGGACAATGTTAGGTGTCATTCATGATCTTTAAATTATAGGACCATCTCTTTCAAAAGAGCTTTAACCAGATTCAGTTGAAATGAGCTCCATATTTAATAATTAGTGTCAATAAAACATGTTTCAAATAGCTTTATTTTTATAAACTGTACCAAGGTTATTGAAATTAAAGGGTGTCTCTTCAACAGTCCAAATGCTTGAATATAGAAATATGAAATGAGTGGTTTTAGATACCCATGTAAACTGTGAATGAAGTGAGTTCCAATTCAGAGGAGAGAATGTCTCTACATGACTGTCTTAGCAACCATTAAGAAAGGGATAGCTAATAAGACAGAAAATATCCTAATGCCTCTCTCTCATATATTAAAAACCATAATCCTGTGGTATGCCTTGAATACTGCATGCAGTTCTCATCGACCCATCTCAAAAAAGCTGTATTAGAATTGGAAGAAGTATAGAGAAGGGTAACAAAATCATGGAATAGCTTCCTTGTGAGGAGAGATTAAAAAGACAGGGACTGTTCAGTTTAGAAGAGAGATGATTAAGGGGAGATATGATAGAGGTCTCCAAAATCATGAATGGTGTGGAGAAAGAGAATAAGGAAGAGTTGTTTATCCCTTCATGTAACACAAGAAATAAGGGTCACACAGCGAAAGTAATAGCTGCAGATTTGCACAATGCACAGTCAACCTGTGTAGCTTGTTGTCAGGAGATGTTGTGAAGGCCAAAAGTATAAGTGGGTTCAAAAATAATTAGATAAGTTCACGGAGGATAGGTGCATCAGTGGCTTTTAGACAAGATGGTCAGGGATGCAACCACATGCTCTGGGTCTCCTTAAACCTCTGGTTGCCAGAAGCTGGGAATGGATGATGGGATGGATCACTCGATAAATTGCCCTCTTAAATTCATTTTCTCTGAAGCATCTGGCATCTGAAGGTGTTAGAAGACAGGATACTGGGCTAGGTGGACCATTAGTTTGACCCAGTATGTACATTCTTCTGTTCTTAAATTTGCTATGGAATACCCTTAATTTACATTGATTTGAAAATATTGTATAGATCAGAATTAAAAATGAAGACAGCAACTTTATCCTATGTAGTTACAGTGAAATTTGTGTTCGTACTTAAATTTTCTGTTAATGAGGGGTTCAAGGTAGAGAACTAAGGCCTCAATTGTGTAGTGATTTATCCACATACTTAATTTTCCATATTGTGAGTAGTTCTGTTGATTTAATTGGACTGTTCAGTGTGAAGAGGTAAGCATGTGCATAAGTCTTTAAGGATCATGGTTCAGGTAGCTATATTGACAAAAACTTCTTCCTTATAGTGATATTAAAAGTGAAGTGAGTTCCTTGTATCTTAAGCAGCATAGCGTGTGTACTTCTAATATTATTTTCTTTACTTTTTCAATGCACAGTTAAAAGCTTGATATTTTCAAACCGTTTTCCGAATCAGTCTTATTTGCATGAATTTCTAATGGTATTAAAACCAATGTAGACTTCAGTTTGTGAACCAGTGCCATTGATGGTGACGCTAATGTGCACAGATCTGGGAATAGATAACTGCTTCATAATATGCAGTCAAAAATAACCACATTCTCTATAAAATTCTTATGAATTGAGGTTTTTTGGCTTGGTTAGAGGATTATTGTGAAATGAGATCGAAGCTTTTTGAGTAAAGATGGAGAAGTTGTGGTAGCTGTAATCTGGGGTGTCTTCAAATGTGAGTTCTTTGCATTTATAGTTGAAGCTAAACACTGACAGACTTTAACTTTTTTTATTTTCTAGAACTAATATGCATGAGCAAGTGAACAGAACAGAGAGACAGTTTAGATCCCTCCCAGTTAACCAACAAAACCTACTTCCTCAATTTCTTCTTCATCTGGACAAGATTCGGAAATGCATTGATCATAATCAAGAGATCCTACAGACCATTGTGAATGAGTGCAAACATATGTTTGAAAATAAAGAATATGGAGAAGATGTATGTAAAAATTGGACGCTTTTCATATTTCAGAAGTAAAAATTTCTGTACATTTTTTTAGTTTTTTATTTCTTTTTCTCACTTCAGGTTTCCATTTCTTTTGTTCCCCCCCCCTCATGAATTCATATTTGCTTAATTACCCTGCCCCCTCACCTTTGCATGTCTTATAGGCATGATGAATTATATTGTATAGTTTTTCAATAAAGGCATCTCTGGCTATTTTTTCTATAATATAGGTACAGTTAATCATTCAGGAGAACAGTACTTGTCTGCTATGGCAAGTGTCAGTAATTACTCTTAATAACAGATCAGTATGATAGAACTCCATTGGAGTTCTAACTGTATCCAAGTTATTTTTTTAAAGTTGACTTTTCACTTGGCTGCATTGACCATAAATAATGTTTTTGTAGTACATTAGTTTACACCATTCTTAATCACCTATGGGTTTTAGGTAAGTTAACTATTTGTGGTATTATAGTTCTGTAAAATTTTAGCATAATTTTCCCCCTACTTGATCTACATTTTTCTATTTTTGTAATGAAGTTTTACACTTATGAACCTTAAGGGACTGGCAGTGATGGAAACTGAAGTCTTCTTTTTTTTTTTTTTTTTTTTTTTTTTTTTTATCCATAGGCTGGGTACAGTTCTGGGCAGCTCCAGTGTGAGCTTCTCCATGCTGCCTCATCAATGACCTGGAGGGACCTTCCTCTCAGAGTGAGAGGTTGTTCGGTCTCCATACTAGCTCACCCCTTGTCCTTTCCTGAATAAGGACTACCAGTTGTGCTGAATTATGCTATATTATATATTGGTTTTGTGATGTGGACGCTGGTCTATTGAGGGCTGAGCTGATACCACCAAACTCATTTCATATAGGACTGTAAGCTGGATTTGAGCCCTGGTCCCAGAGGTGAGAGGCGAGTGATTTATCAACTAAACCACCCATATAGCTGCTACAGCATGTCTGTTTCAGTATTCAAAGCTAAGGTTGTTTGACGTCTTAAATTTCTGGATTTATTTTTTGTCTAACTTTTATTTGCCCTTTAATCAGGAAAATGGGAAGATTGTGCCAGCGTCAACGTTTGACATGGATAAATTAAAGTCCACTTTGAAACAGTTTGTAAGAGACTGGAGTGAAACGGGGAAACCTGAGAGAGATTCCTGCTACCAGCCAATCATTAATGAAATTGTAAAGAACTTTCCAAAAGAGAGATGGTAAATAGTGCTTTGTTTTTAAGATTTATTATAAAAGAAAATATATAGGCCTTCCATGTTGCACGCCACTTGTAAAAAGTTTATAGAGAGTGGGAAAAAAAAAAGCTTGAATTTAAAAATATTTAAAAATAAGTGCAAATAGCATTGGGTTAATTGCATAAACAAAAAATGCTTGTATGGTAGGGTAGTACAGTAGAATACAAAACGTTAAACCGAGAAATAATAAATCAGAATTATGTATTGTCTCTCTATGGGCCAATATTGAAAGGTCTAAATATATTTTTATTATGTGAGTTCAAAAAGTTGTAATATAGTTAAGCCTAGTGATTCCACAGCAGCACAATACAAGGAATCAAAGTTCCAGTTTGGCAGCTGCTGAGAGTGCTGTGATAGGATCCATGTCCAACTTGCCTCAGCTCAAGAGGAAGCCATAATATACGATCCCTTGAAGGGAAGGGGAAGTAAAATGTGGTTATCCTTGGTGAGAGGGGAGAGGAAATGAGTAAAAGTTCCTTCACCCCTAGTACGGCTTTATTACATTTACAATCCTGTTTGTAAGTGTTCAGGCCCAATATTGATTTCAGACACAAGATACAATGTATCTTGTAAAATTCTCATCTGTTTGTGTGCATATCTTGATAAGTGACTTGACAAAGAGTAACGCATGTCTGTGTGTCTGAAGGTAGGATGAATGCTGATACGGTAACAACCTAAAAAGAGCAAATTTATTTACCAAAAGTGATATAGTAATAAAAATGAGAAAACAACTCATTAATGAAATCCATGTCCTAAGAAGGTAAATATAAATGATTTAGTTACTGAAATTAGTGCAGTTGTCATAAATAAACATCATTTCACTTTTAAACTTACTGAGGCTCTTTTAATGAGGAAAAACAGTGGCGCACTGACACTTATGTTTTAATTTCATTTGTGAACTCGGTGTTTATAAAAGTGAGGACTGATAGCTCTGGCTGTAGCCTAAGCTTGCTACAGCCAATAGCTTCCTCAGACAGTGCAAAACAGGCTCAAGTATCACACTGAAATTTAGGTACAATATTTATATTCCAGTTGCTTTATTTTATAATTATATGGTAAAAATGAGAATAATAAATTTTTCAGTAATAGTGTGCTGTGACACTTTAGTATTTTTATGTCTGATTTTGTAAGCAAATAGTTTTTAAGTGAGGTGAAACTTTGGGTAAACAAGACAAATCAGACTCCTGAAAGGTGTACAGTAGTCTGGAGAGTTTGAGAACCCTGACTTAGCCCACTAAGATTTCATTGGAAGATGAGATTTGTATAGCACTTTCAAAAATATAACTTGAATACTCTTCCCTTGTTAGATACAATGCATTCAGGAATGTCTTCTTATAGAAAAGGTACAGTAAGTTTAGTTTTTATACATTTAAGTAAAGTTATCTTCTGTTTAGAAATTCCCTCATAAAAATGATAAAAATAGAAAGTTGCCCTTTGTTGCGGATATTTATTCATTATTATATTATTCTAAATTTCATAGGTATGTTAGTGCAGTTCAAGCATCAATATTGTCAGTGGCTTTTTCTTGTGAAATGGAAGCCTGTGTGTAAGACAGATCCTTGTCTTAAAGGCTAACAAGTTTTTTATATTTGGCTACATGGAATCCCTCTTTTAGTTTTGCTTTGTAGGAAGGCTATGATGGTGCGTCACTCCCAAAACCATTTGCAGTTCCTGTAACTGAATTTGCAATGGCAACTCTGAAGCAGTTTTCTATATGAAAGCCAAATCGGATGAACGTTGGAGAATATTTATTAAGCTTTTCACTTCAGATATCTTAAGTGTACTGTTCCTACCAGGAAAAATGATGTAGAAAGAAAATTTAAATCTTTTTTTGACTTGTAACCCATAGATGAAAGCAGTACTTATGAATCCATGTATGTTAAATTTGGTAAATAGTGAAAAACATTTGCTTAACAAATATTTTAAAACTTTTTATTCATTCTGTACTTCGAGAAAGAGCTTTAATTTTGGGGAAGATACTGTGCGTTCTTCATTCATAATGCAAGTTAAGTCTCTTGTTTCAAATGCAGAACTTGCCCAAACCTTAACTGTGGAGCCATGACTAATGTTTTTATGTCAAATGGCTTTGATAGGAAAATATGTAACTGTGAAGAAATCATATTCAGAATAAACTGCTTAGTAGTATAAAATAACTGTAACTGACCATAGTTTTGAAATACAGTAAAGATCTGGACTTGAGCCCAAAAACTGAGGTAGGAGAAATTCTTTACTTTAGAATTCTGAATCCTAATTTTTTCCTTTATGTGGCTTTTTGCCTCTACCTCTTCAGGTTATATGAGCAAGTTAGTGTCTTTTTGCTTTCCCACCTGTGGTTGGCTAGCAAATCATGACTCCTTTTAGATGTGGACCTTGCCATAGTTATTATAGCTTTGTCTCATAGGATTACTGTAATGTGATCTACAAAAAGCTACACCTAGCGACCACTCAGACTGTAGATAATGCAGCAAAGCAATGCCTATCTGTCCAGGCTTTTTGCCTGAGGGCATATTTAGAGGCCAGTGACGTTAAAGGAAGGTGGAAAACCTCTTTTATTGGCATTGAGCCAAATTGTTCCTAATGATTTAAAAATGGTATATGTGTAAAAGCAGTTCTGATTAAATTTGTCAAGTCTAAATTATTTTCCCATTTCTTACGCGACCAGCTGGATATAAGTATTTATAAAATGTTTATGGTGCAAGCATATTATTTGTTGTTCACCGTGTTTGGAAACAGATATGTAGACTTTTCAGACTAAAGCCTATCTTGAACTATGAGTTTAAAAAAAGCTGTCATTCCTAGATAACTTTTCCCAACAAGACACATTGGATAAGACTATCCAAAGTACCGAGCCCTTAAGCACTCTTCAAAATTTCATCCAATTTATATTTTTAGCACAGTATATGAAACAATAAGCTTCAGTTTTCTCAAGTATCCTTAATTTTGTTTGGCTTTTCCTAAGGCAGAAGTGCTCTGTGAATTGGATTAATCATGTTGTGTTTTAACTGTAAGTGATTCAGGTTTTACACATATTCAGAGTGAGTGTTAACAGATGCACTAAATAAATTCAAAAATAAATAAATTGGATCAGCCACTGCAAGTTAATTGAAGTTTCTGTACAGATCTGTATGGGGCAGATTCTGAACAGATGCAGAGCTAAAGGAGGGATCATATTCAATTAACTTTTAAGAGTAATGGTCTTAATGTTAAAAATTAACTCTCAGATTAAAATTTTCAAAAATTTGGCCATGGAAAAGCTCTCTCTGTTTCAGCATCTTAACACTGTATGCCTGAAGTGGTAAAAGTCAAAACCTTTGATTTGTGATCAACAAACTCAAGTCAAACTTTACACTTGCATGTAGGAAGCAATATCCTGGCATAGATTGACTTCAGTTGACAGCTACATGATGATTTTAAGAGTTATTTTTTTTCACTTAGACAAAATATTTGATATCGGTTCCATCCCAGTAGCTATATGACCAAGATATTTGTTCTAAAATGCTGGTTGGAGGTCTAGCATTGTTTTTAGTCCCCATTGGTTTAGTTTAGGCCACTCAATCATATCTCAGTTCCACTTCAGCTGAGTTTCTGTGAAATAAAAGCACAAACATCTTTTCTATGTTTTAATACTATACGTTGGATTTCTTTAGTGCATACTATAGTAATTTAAAAGAATTTGCTATGTTTAAAACACTACTCAATGATGGAAATGTGAGTGGTGCTTACATAATACATTTATTTCTCTCTGCAGTGTATCATGTCTATGCTCATATCCAGGGTGGTTTATTTGCTAGAATCTGGAAGATCTCTGGCTTCAGATTATTATGCCTCTTTAGGGCAACAGATGCAGTACAGAGTAGTACCCATTTTGTATGTTCATCTATTTTTGGAGTTTACTAGCAGTGTTCTCTTCCCATCATCCTTGCCCACTCTGTAGAAGAAGAAACTTGTATGGGCAAAAAAGGATATTACTAACCTGCTTCCTCTTTTTGGATGTTGGTGGGGAACAGCTGCTTCCCTTCACAGGAGGAATCAAGTTTGTTAAGATATGGAAGGGAATGCAAGGTGCCCCATCTGAGCAGAGAGCAGTGTTTAAGGTACTCTCGCTGTTGAATATGGGGCAGATGGTGTTTCCCCTTTCTTCCATCAGAGTTGGTTCTAGAAGGTTGGGGAGTGGGAATCTTAGAGATGTTGGAAGCTGAAAATTAAAATTCATTTCTCTTTGCTTCTAATGGGAAAAGCAGCCACAGGATCTTGTGATCAAACCAATGGGTAGAACTTCTGACTAGACTTAGAAAATGGGACTTTTATCTAACTATATACAGAGTTTATAACTCTTAAACTTTCGAGTATGGCCATGGAATTCTGGAATTCTCTTTTATGGAGGTCTGCTCTAAGTGCACTTTGAGGATGAAACTCTCTGGTATGAACATGACCTCTCACCTAGAAAATAACATTTAAGGAATGCTATCGAGATTGGTAATGTCAACAGATTCACCTAGATGTCAAGTGTGGTTACGGGAAAATATATACACAAACGGTTATCAGTATGAGAATTGTCAGGATAAGAGTCACCTGGTAGTTTCTTTTAAAATTTGTTTTGCTAGAATTATGCATGAAGTACCTAGTTAGAATAATTTGTATTGGTTCACACGCTCTAGTGTTAAGAATAAAATGGATGGGAGTTCTATAAGGTAGCACAGTTGTCTAGACAGTGAACATGAGGATCTGACATAGCTGGTTTCATATGTTATCTCTTAAAGAAATGCCCAAGCCACATTGACAGCTTGTTTATAGCTCCATGCACTCAGGTACCATATCATCACTTGTTTTCTATTCTCATATTGGGCCAGATTCCAGCCCTCACTGTGGCTCATGTGTAATTCTTTCAGAGCAGTGCAAACTTATGTGACCCTCTACTGCCATTCTGTATGGCCTCCATGATAGGATCATGCTGTAGGCAGAGT